CAAAGCAGTGAAATAGATGAATTAGCGTACCGTTGATAAGGACACTTGCGGTGGCAACTTGCGATTTCGCACCAACCGCAAATGGGAAGTACGAGCCAAACTTAGTAAAAAGGTTCTCGTTAACTTCGTGTATCGGGTCCGCTCCATAAAAGTATGATCCTTCTGGCAAAACCTTAGGAAAAGAAAGCTATTTTACATTGCATTCCTCCCTTAATTTCACACTTTTCTTAAAGTGAATAGTAGTTTTATTACCTTCACTAAAGCTTCTTCGGCTTGCGTGTCGTGTCCAATTCCAAGAGTCACTATCACACTGGGTTTTTGCTGCAAAAGATACACACTGGATAAGAAAATCGTAAAATTTCAGGACTGGAGCCGGTTTAGTTTGTTATTATTGTGAGAAATGACTTTGCTACAATCTCTAACAAACTGAGTTGAAACGTTTTAGCAAGCAGGAGTGAGACTGTCCTATGAAAAAACTTTCCATCCGTTTTCCCTGGAGCGAGTCATGCTCGGAGTTTCATGCATAGAAGTATATGCGCTGTCCCGCTGAGCTTGATTGTAGACGTGAGCAGAGTGACATAATGGGCATGATAAAACGCAAAGGTGTTCTTCAACAACAAAATAGATTAAACTTGCATGAAATTCTTACTGGTTTCGTAACAGGCCTCAGCACGAAGTCTCCGACTGAATTTTACAAAAACAAGTACCCGCTTGAAAATGCAGGAAATTACGAAGCCCCCTTTGTAACCTATACAACGCGTGAAATGAGGACAAGCACTGCGATGCCGCTACTTGGAGCGTGCTCTCTTCATTAAGGAAAAACAATTCAGGATTTTAGCAAGGAAGGCAGAAAGTGTTGTGATCCGGTTATTGCGCTGTAAGTTGGGTCAAGAAATGTTTGCTATTAAAAAAAGCAAAATTATGCAAAAAGGTGTTTGCTAATCGGAGATTTGAGGTCTCTCATACTCCGGAAACTAAATCACAAAAAGTGCAGCAATTTATCCAATCTCATAATATTTCCAAAATTTTTCAGGCACTTCTTCTACTCTTTGTTGCGCATCTTTGCCCCAATTTTGGTGGCTGTTCATTACCTACCCGCTAAGAAAAACGGGTTTATCCAGATTTTTTGAAACTCATTCAGTTTTCCCACGCAAACGGCCGCGTTGAAAAGAATATTGAACCTTTGCTGGAGCAGGTTTTTGGACGGTCTTTAAATGTGTGTAAAATTACTCCGAGTTGAGTATTGAGGAAGACGGAAATACTTAGGCAGCTGCATGAACATCCGCGCTAGGAAGAGAGGAGGTAGGGGGAGAGCTTCAAGCTTTTTCAACATTTTTTTGTGAAAAGGGCGGTCATAAATGAGATTGAACTGTAGGCTCCTCTACGGACCCAATACGATTTCCCCTTTGCTTTTTTTCACAAATGCGAATTCCAGCATGCCCTCCGGAAACCTGACGCCGAGGTCTGTTTCGTAAGCTCTGATTGGTACTGAAAGGATGCACAATTTATCGTGATTT